CCTAAAGGTCTCCTATCCATACCCAAAATGCAAATGTTCCTGCTAAGATGAAAATGTAGAGCCAATAATAAATTTCAAACATAAAAAAGAGCTACCTAATAAACATCCATAAATTTAAGTTATTTCCTAAAAGATTTATCTTAATTTTTAAGCAAATCTTGATTGAATCTGCAATCTTAATTAAGGCGGAGAAGCATTTTTCCTACAATTATTGAAGACTCCTTGCAATTTTTCCCCCAGAAAATCCCATAATGTAGTTTTTATACCCTTGCAGAGGGTATTATGATTTCAGTCAGAAGTTTGCAACGCAGTGAAGGAGACGTTTCCGACCCCATAAAGTATATATATTCTTGATCAGCATCACTAGACGAGTCGATCTAGCCATGTCCGTCTGTCCGTCCGTCTGTCCGTCTGTCCGTCCGTCTGTCCGTCCGTCTGTCCGTCCGTTTCTACGCAAACTAGTCTCTCAGTTTTAAAGCTATCGGGATGAAACTTTCGTAAAAGTCGTATTTCTATTGCAGGTAGTATATATGTCGGAACCAACCGGATCGGACAACTATATCTTATAGCTCCCATAGGAAGGATCAAAAAATAAAAACGTAAAAAAATTCTAGCTCCGGTGTTTTTTGAAATTTTACCTTCTACTCTTGGGAATATTTTTTTTTATATATTTCTGAATTTCGGTTTTTTTGTTTTTTAAATCGGATCACTATATCATATAGCTGCCATAGGAACGGTCGAAAAATTAAATGGAAATTAATGTGAAAAAAATTATATCTTTGTTGGTTTTTATTACATTTCCTTCTACTCTGGGATATGACTATTTTGAAATATTTCCGAATTTCGATTTTAATTTTTAAAAGATCGAACTACTATATCATATAGCTGTGATAGAAACGATCGAAAAATGAATGTGAAATAATAAGAAATTTAACATTTTTGCGATTTGTAAACTAATAGAATGATCTGCAAGGGTATATAAGCTTCGGCTTGCCGAAGCTAGCTTCCTTTCTTGTTTAAGAATTAATTTATAATATTATTTGATACTTGTAAACTTATCATGAATCAAGAAGTTCAATTGAGGGTTAGAACCCTCATAATAAAATAAATTGAGCTCGAATTTCAATTAAAACTTTCAATGGCTGTCAATATAATCATAATTTTTATACCCTTGTAGAGGGTATTATAATTTCAGTCAGATGTTTGCAACGCAGTGAAGGAGACGTTTCCGACCACATAAAGTATATATATTCTTGATCAGCACCAATAGCCGAGTCTATCTAGCCATGTCCGTCTGTCCGTCTGTCCGTCTGTCCGTCTGTCCGTCTGTCCGTCTGTCCGTTTCTATACGAACTAGTCTCTCAGTTTTAAAGCTATCGCGATAAAACTTTCCCGAAAGTCTTCTTTCTATTGCAGGTAGTACATATGTCGGAGCGAGCCGGATCGGACCACTATATCTTAAGGCTCCCATAGGAATATTCAAACATATATAAGAAAATTCTTGTTAATTTGTAGGAAGTAGGCGTTTTAATTCTTGACTACTTAAAAACAAAATTCAAAAATAGGAACACTGAATCTGGAATCCCTGGAACTGCACCGAGTGAGTATTACTTTATCTGCAAGGGTATATAAGCTTCGGCTGGCCGAAGGTAGCTTCCTTTCTTGTTCTACGTTACTTAAGGCTTACATGACTTTTTCATTATTAGTGTAGAATAATTATTCTTATCACTGCTCTTGGGCGCCCAAAGAACATTAAAAGCGCCACCAAGACGCATTCCAAGTGGCTTAATTAGTCGAAAAAGTGGTCCGATTGGGTTGAATGTGTCGCAAGTTGGCCGCATAGTTACAACGATTAGGCATTTAATCAAATTTGACCCCAATAATTGGCATTCTGCGGCAATTCAGCTGTTCGGCTGCACGTACACCTCGTTTGCATCCGAAATCCAAGAGATTCGACCGGCGACAGCCTCCATTAAAATGCCCCACTAACTGCATTCCAAGAATTTACAAGTCAAAGATCGAATGTGCGCCGCTCAAACGATAGTGCCCCGCCCCCAAGGCCCCCCAGCCCCCTCTTAACCCCCCTGGGAGTAGGGGTACCCCTTAACCCCCTTGGTGGCCCATCAGCATCATCAATAGCCAGATGCATTGTGTTTCGTCGAGCGGAGACTGTGGGTCCAGGGCCACCGCTAGCGATCAGCAGACAACAAAGACTCAAATTGAATAAATAAAGCGCAAGATTTATGCATACGAAATTAATAAATTGAAATATATGTACAATAAGTATTAGGCGCCAACAATGAGCTCTGAAATGCATCGGGCATTTAATTTTTATACCCACCCATCGCCACATCTCCCCTCGATTTTTCTTTTCGGGAGTTTATCAGTGGGCCACGGCCCGAAAAACACAGAAAAACCGAAACTGAAACCGAAAAAAAGGAAAAACAACAGGGGAGATTAGCATTAACACACGCACAACAACTACAGTGCGAGAAACCAGATATGAATTATGTGCGATAAGAGCCAGAGTGCATTGGTGTCAAAAAACAAGAATGGAATGGTTAGGGTTCGAGCAGAACTGCAGACTGCACCGCACACTCGAATACCCTGGGTGACCTATGTCCATGCAGGTGGTGATGGATTTACGATCGTGAGGGAAAGAAAGGGTGTGCTTTCTTCGGAATATATATTCTAACACGGGAAAGATCCCTTACTAAAGCATCTTAATAAAGCCAGAGTTTTGAAATGTCATTAGAAACTTAATTATGCCATTTCATATGCATAAATTGTATTCTTCAACCAAAGGATAAAATATATATCTATTAAACCCTTGGTATCTAATGAACTTTATAAAGGGATATAACCCTGATAATAATTTGCTAATCAGATGGAGAAAACTGAAGTCGCTAAAGGACTTTTAACTTTAATGAAAGGATTACTTGGTACTTTAAAAAATTGTATTTTCAAGTCTATCAAATAAAAAGATAAACACATTTAAAGATCAAGGTATAATGCTTTTAGAATTTGAAATTTAAGAACAATGCTATTAATTTTGATTATAGCCCTTAGATGTTGTTAAGAGGAGTATATTACCTTACCTTACTTCTATTAATTAGCTTTTATTTCTAAAAAATACTACCAATTTAGGAATAAGTATTTTCAATGGGATCAATATATAATAGGAATTTTAGAATGATGCTTTTAATTTAAGGTTATAACTTAAAAAGTCATTACCAAGAACTTGTAGCTGACCTGAGAGGACTAAAGGGTACTCTGATCCAACTTACTTGACTTTTTCAGGTTGATAAGTTTTTAATTCTTTCGCAGATCATCTTGGGGTTTATATGCCCATTCCCATAGAGAGTATTTCAACTAAGAACGCCGAGCGGAGTGATGAAATGCGCGGTGCAGCGTGCAGAGTTGGCTGCATATAATATGAGTACTATACTATAAGCCAGACCAGATCCGATCTGCCGGCGTCGGCGTTGGCAGAGCTAGCGGCAGAGGCAGCGACTGCGACTGAGACTTCGCTTCGACTGCAACTGCAGCAAGTTTTATGAATGAACGAGTGCAACTGCAACGAAAAAAGACGAAAAGAGACGGGTGGTGGAAACTTGTGGAGCTTGTGAATGGCACAAAACGCGAGATCGAACTATTGTAATTACTACGAGATTATGCAAAATGCATATATGCAATTAGTGGCAACTCCCCCTCCATTTGCCCCTACATCTTGGGATCCATCTGAGTCATGGGGCAACTGGTTTGACTTGACTGGCGGCCTGAGAACCTAAAAAGCACTGAACAACTGAACAACCGAGAACAAGTACTCATTGCCTAGTACTCAGTACTCGGTACTCGGTACTCCAGTATGAAGTCATGTGATTGGAATTTGTGTGCCGTTGCCGATGACGAACCACCGACCAATCGCACAGAAGCTCTAGAAGATTGTGCAATTGTGCCCCAACCTGTTTGCCACTTTGTAGCATCGAGAATTCTCCAGTCTCCAAGATGCAGATGCAGATGCACTGGCTGCGAGTCCAAACGAATCGAATCGAATCGAATGGAATCACATACATAAATCCAATGGCCATATAGCCATTGTCCCTCGTTTGTCCAACATGCACATTCCATTCTTTGAAAAGCGATCAATGCCAAGTCAATAATGAAACGATGCCGATCCGGAGAAGAATATAAATTTCTGGCCTATCAGTAAGAAAAGGGAGGGCACCGAAGAAAACACTGGAAACACTGATAATAATGTCGCCTGCGAGAAATTCCTTTAGCGGCATTTAGGGCCACTTAATTATGACCCCCCCGCGTGCCCCGGACGAAAACGCCGCTCGAGAAAAGTAAAAAGTATAAAGTCAAAAGCAAAGAAGAGCCCAGTCCTAAATTCCTGGAATTTCGACTTTGACTCTTGTTAAATAACCAACTGCTGTATTTGTTCATGTCGCCGGCCCTTCACTCGAAGAAAATAGGGCATGCATTGGGGGAAATGCAAGAGGAATGCATTTTTAGAAGGCTATCAGCGAAGTATTTACGGAATTTAATGATTTCCAAAGGAAGAAAGTATCTGAAAAGTGATCTTTTTTGGAAGGTGGTTTGATAAATCATGTGATTTTAACTAATTAATTAAGTAATTAGCTAACGACAAATACAAATTAATTTTTCTACTTTGGTTAAATAGAATATTTCTGTATTTATGAATAAAAAATATATCAATCAATTAATATTACCAGTTTTATTTTTTAAGGAAGTAAAAAGATTCCAACTCCTGACAATAGCTTAAGAATATATAGCATTAAAAAAAGTTTAAAACCAAAGAAAATATTTTTTGATCAAAAAAAAGTTGTTTTAGAATTTAAATGGAAATAAATCCTAAGGAGAGTTTTTACCCTTTTTAAATTGATTTAAAATAATTACAAATTATTTCTCATTTAAAATAAAATAACAAGAAATTTTAGACCAAACCTCTTCCCATTTTATTTCAGTGTTTGCCCATCTCATCTCAGTTGCAGTGGTAATTCTGCGTCTTTTTTTTAAGGCCTAGTCTATGATTGTCCACGAAATTGGCAAGGCGAAAAGGTGCTCCAACATCATAATCCTGGGCATCCGGAGATGGCAGACGAGTTCGAGGCTCTGGGAGACTTGGTTCGATGAACCAATTAGATCAAACAACTTACACCACACACACACAGCCGCACACACCTTTACTGGGTGCAACAATACAACAACAGGGAACGGAGAAGACTGCGAGAACAACAAAAAAGAATTCTTTACGAGCCTCGCTCCGGTGCACGGTCATCAAGTCAGCTCGTTCAACATTCAAGAGGCATCGATGATAATATTCATTCATTTGATCAAACCGCCGACGATGTCGACGGACGGAGATGCAGACGACGATGGAGACGACTTTCATTATGGGCCTGTAGTTCAGTTCCCTCACCCAAGCCTGCATACTCCCTACTCTCTTCGCCATACTCCCCATCATCGTCAAGCTCCTTCTACTGGGAGGCCGCCCAAAACCAAAACCAAGACCAGGCAGTCCAAAACCAAAGCCAAGAACAACGGCGGGGGGAATACAAAAACATATTGCCAAAGTAGCAGCAACAGCAAAAGCAACTACGGCAACATCATCGGCCAACAACAGCAACACGAGGAATCTCAACAGCAGCATTATGCATCATTACACTGAAAGAAACAAGGGAGAATTTACACGGTATTAAAGAGACTAAAGAGGAGTCTCAAAATGTAATATCAATTGGAATTATTATAAGGAAGTTTATAACGGATCTAAAGATTCTTAAAGAGGGTCTTAAAAGGTTTTACCCAATTTATTTACTGGTATAAATTCATAAATTCCTGGTATTATTTCATGCTACTTCACCTTGAAAATGTAATTGTTTTGATCTTTTAAAACGAAGTTATTTATTAGTTGTATAATATTTTGGTTAAGCAAAATCTCGTCAAGAGATATATTCTTATAGACAACCTGTTAAGGTAATGCTAAAAATAATACTACAGAATTAGTTAAAATAATTTAAAAATATTACAATTATCATTTATCATTATCATTATCATACTATCATTACAACTTTGTCTAAAGTGCCTATTCTTTTTCATTAAAGAAATTGGTTTGCGAATATATTTCCTTAGGATATTTATAAAATTTTCTTTTAATAACTTTGCTGATATAATATATCCCAATTTTCTTATTTAATCAATCAAATGCAAACCTTTTCTAGCAGTGCACTCAATCGACACATTCACTTATAGGTCTCAAAATCGATGAGAAAAAGAAATATGTTGAACGGGTGGTGGCGGTGGCGGCGTTCGCTTGTAGCACGGCTCAAAACTGCTGTCCGTTCGTCCGCTTGTCCGTTTGTCCGCCGCCGTCCGTCGATCGTCCCCTCGCACACACGGACATACAGGCACACCGACACGGACACACCTCCACACACTCAGCACACGCACCCAGAAGTGCATGTGTATGCAGACGAAGCCAAGACCTCTTTTTAATGTATTGCAATTCCAAGAATTTAGGAAGAGGAACGTGAGAAACTTTGTTTTTGTTATTTTCTTTTCTTTGCATTTCATTTCAAGATACGATGCCGATCTCTGACTCCCTGCCCCGCCCCCTTTCGCCCTCGCCCACTGGCGGTGTTTACGTCTCGAGCGTCCAGGTTTCATGGCTCTGGAGCTGCAGTGCTGAGAGCCTGGCTATCAAAAATGGCTTATTTTCGAGGCTCAGGGCTCGGACTTGGGTTTTGGGATATCCCTAGGAATAATCGGAAGATTTGGATTCCTTTAGCAATAATCCGTGCTAAATGCCCACCACCCACACCTTTCACTAGATTCATAAATTACATTATAAATAGATTCACCTAACCCAAAATGCATTTCTCACCACATTGCAAACTGGAATACACAATCGGACTTATATATCTTCAAACAAATGTTTACCAATAAAATACATTTTTCAACTGCTATAAATGGAGATGATCTTGCTGGTATACTTCCTAAAATAGACCAGACACTTTTGTTTAAATATTCGTATTTGAATTTTGAGGATTGCGAAATGTTTGCGAAAAGTGATCGAGAGATAGTGGAGTAATTGATCCTGGTTTTCGAAATCACAACAATTTTAGGATATTATTTGGAATCTTTTTGGTATAAGGAAGTATATATTTACTGTAAGATTTAAGGTTTAAAGATTCTGAGTTTAATGTAGATTTACAAATTTTCCCTTATTTTGGATATATTGATCTATCTCATATCTAAAACGTTAGTGGTAAGCATTTTGTCGAATTTCTCACTTCTTTTTGGTTTTAGGTGTATTATAGTGATTTTATTTGTATATGGATGGGATATCCTTAATTATTACTTTTTTATATATACCAAATATTTCTCGAAAATAGGCTTTTCCTCTGATTTTAAGATTGGTAATCCCATTGTAGAACTCCTATTCCCTTCACATCTTCAGTTTCCAACTTTTGATCTAGCTTTTTTCGGTGGTCCTAAGTAAGCACCTCTGGAGGCCCAGGCTTTCGGATCCATAAGTCACCGAGGCGTCTCCGTCTTGGTCTTCGGTGGACGTCGCTGCTTCTGCCGCTGCCTCTGCCTCCGTTGGCGTTGCAGTTCTGCAGTTTGCAGTTTGCAGAGTGCAGAATGCCCCAGACCCAGACATTCATATTGTATACACTTAAGATTCTTTGTGGAATTTCGGTGCAGTGGAGTTTCGCGGGGGATGGAAAGGGGGCGGTGGGTGGTAAGTGGTGAGTGGGCCAGGCGCGTGGTAGTATGAGTGCTCAATGTTTGAGTGTTTGAGTGCTCGAGTGTCTCTGTGAGAGTGCAGACTTGGCTAATAAAGCCGGCGACAGGAGAAAGCCAAATTCCAAGAGCACAACATTGTAGCACTTGGGTGGTGCCGAGGTAAACAACAGTTCCTGGATGGAAAAGGGGCGACTGAAAGGGGCTTCCCCCGAGGGGCCAGGGATCTCCATCTCCAGATCTCCATTTAGTTATTCTGTTTGCTCGTCAATCGTTTCCTTTCTGCATTCGCTGCCATTTTCGCCCAGTGTATGCGTGTGTTTGCTGGTGCGTGTGCTGGGCACATTTCTTTTTGGGATGCCGCTGATCGGAACATGGATGTGGATGTGGATGTTGGTGTGGATGTGGATGCGAATGTGGATGCCTCCGGAATGTGCATAATTTTTTTTCTTCCTTCGTACCCATTTTTTTTAAAAGGCAAGCAGGGATAACTTGAGCTAGAGCAAAGAATCAGTTTGGGTTATCAAAATCACGAACTATATCTTATATTGCGCCCAAAAATCTCAATAAAATCTTTGATAAAATATTTATTAAAAATTTGTATTTATTTTACAATTACAAAAAAATTAACTTGGTGGTTGTTTTTAAATGTGTGGTTAAATTGTCTTTTAATCTGAATTTATAATGATATATTTAATTTTTTTATTTAGACCAATTAAAACGTAATTTCATTACTACAAGATCTTAGATTTCATATTTTAGTCCATCTAACACAAGATGTGGTGACCCCGATCAATTGATGTGGTGACCCCGATATTTAAATTTAATTTAGCAAGGAGCTTCATATCATCCCCCAGGGTATTTCCCATTCGATACTTGATAAACCCGCCTTGATCAGCATTCTTGCCGTTTTGGCTTGCTTTTCTTGGCTTTTTGTTTTCTTTTTTTTACCTTTTACTGTGTGGCGCAGGGCAGCAGCGACAAAATAGCAGAATCCTGTTGCCATGATCGTTAACAAGATGCCAAGACAACGAGAGGGGCGTAGTGAAGGGTGTTGTTCATGGGGGAGATTGGCGGAGGAATCTGGAATCTGTGGGAGCTTCGAAAATGTTGGCGGCAGCCAAATTAAATAGGCGCAAGCGCTTTGAGTTAGCCACGAGTTGTCCAGAATCCAGAATGGGATTTTCAACTTATTGTTGTAGTTGTTGTTGTTGTTGAATTTTTATTTTTAGTGTTTGTTGTTGGGATGTTGTTGGTGTTGTCGTTGTGGTGTTGTTGGGATGTTGTTAAGCTGTTGTTGTATCGTTGGTGTATTTTATGGTGTTGTTGTTGAACCGTTTTTGTTGCTTTTTTGCCAGTTGTTTGAGAGTTGATTGTCCTGTCCCCTCAAGTTTTTGGCCTGAGCTGGCAGGAATGCTGCCTTACGGGTAGAAAGAGAGAAAATCTTCTCACCTGAGAAAGGTGATGAGGTGAGTGGGGTGAGGGGGGTTTCCACAGGGGGATTGGCGGCAAGATGCTGCAAGCGAAGGATCGAGATGCGGTTCGTTCTTGTTTTTCTTTTGAATTTCAGCTTTGTGTGCTGATTTTTGTTGTGTTCCTTTTTTTACGGCGGTGTCTGTGGCCAACTACTTGGAGTTCTCACATGTATCTGTGAGTACATCCCCATGATTGGCTGTGCACTCAGCAAAAAAAAGGACTATAGACTAATCAAAGGTAACGGACATTTAGTAAAAACAATCCAAGTTTTTTCTATTTAAAATCTGAATTTCTTTCTACAATCTTTCTACAATAAGCGGATTAGAATCTCCTTAATATCTTTGTAGGTTTTGATAGGTTTGGTTGGAGAAATAACTTAAAACTTTGAGTGTGTTTTATGTTTATCATTGGTTTTTAAAACTTTTCCCTAAAGTCCCAGAATTTTAGTTTATTTAGAATCTGAGGCATCAGTTTTGTGATAAGTTTTAGGACTAAAATTATTTATTATATGCGTTATCTGATGTTTAGCTTGATATTACTTCGAAAGTTCGACAGGATATTTTCTAGCCTACCCTTTTTTCGCCAGTGGATGTATGTCGTTTATTATGATTATTTTGTTTGACTGCCTTTGGCCTGTGCAAAAATCCGCACATAATCCGGCAAAACCAGTAGAACAACAACACCAAAGGATGCGGACAGCTCGGCTCATTTATTATGTGTGTGTGAGCCGAGCCAAAGCCAAGGCGCAAAATCCCTATCCTCACTTACATACCTTTCGGTCTCGGTCTCAGTTCAGTCGGTCCATATCCATAGGGTCCGTAGGCCCGTCCGTCCTTCCATTTCCATCCGTCCGCCTGCCTGGCTTTTTATCTCCTTTTTTTGGGATTTCGCCTTTTGTCCTGCTCAACGCATTCGAGTTTTCCCAGAAATGTTAATTATAATACTCACAAACATACATAATTACTCGCATTTCGCATTTCGATGCCCGTAGTTCCCATATCTCCCATATCCTGTTTATGTGGCTCTGGATTTCGTCCGCCGATTGTCCATTTGTCCGCTTGTCCGTTTGTCCGTTCTCGTTTTTCGCATTGCGTTTATTAATGCGGCAAATAAATTTGCATGCCATGCACATTTTTCGCCCTTCATTAATGCTTCTTGTTTATTTATTTTGAATGTTTTTCTGCACTTTTTCAGGGCTTTGCGTTGGGTTTTGGTCAATGAAAAGGGTTCGGTGCGTGTGAATTATGCAGATAAATAGGGGAAAAACCAACGGTGCAATGTGATTTGAATGACATGTCAAGGATAGCGTTGAGAATTAGTGATAATTTTGAATATACGAAAATCTAGGTGATTAATCCAGAATAGTGCCACAAAAACTCGAATTACTTTTACCTGGCACCTCAGGGTAAATTACTTTTACCATACCTTTTTTGTATATTTTTCCAAATTTTACTTGTCTTT